TTGTTCTCCAGAACAAACTTCCTGACTTGGTTTCGTAGCTCTCCCAGCACTAGCACAGTGCCTTGCATATAGTGGATGTGTGAGAAAAACGTCAACAACAAAAACAACAAAAAGAATGTGCCCCTGCCCTACAAGAACCGAGGAACTCAAAGATCTGGAGATTTGTAAGGAAGGCTGCTGAAAGCAACGGCTAGGCTGTGCCCGCGATAAATTAGGAGAACTCATAATAAAAGTTGCCTATGTTTACTGTCTTCTCACTTCGCATTCCCTTCTAAACTCACTCCACTCAGGCTTCTACCCGGTGCCTTCAGAATAGCTCTTGTCAAGGTTACCAACCACCTCCATTTTTCGAAATTCAAGAGTCACCACCCCTTTATCTCCTTGTCTTTCTCCGCTTGACAAAGCTAACTGCTCCCTCCTTGAAACGTGCTTTGGCTCCTGTGATTTCCAGATCATGGAAGGCCCTCGTCTCCTCCTTTCACTTTACCTTCCCCCACTCCTTTCTTAGTGACGTTAGCTTTTTTCCAGCTTTTCCTCCAAATGTTATAGTGTTCCAGAACTCAGCCCAGCATTCTCTTCTTGTTTGTTTTCTTCTTTAACCGTGCTGCCTACTGAAGTAGTATAACTTAGTGTCCCATGGCTTTAAAAACTTTAAGTATCAGTGACTTAAATCTTTGTCTCCACAGTCTCTGTTCTGAATTCCAGAATTGCATTTTCAACTGCCTTCCTGCAATCTCCATTTGGTTTTCTTACTGACGTGGCCAAAATGAAACGTTATTTCCTCCTAAGTCTCCTCACTCCCTCTTCCCCCGTCTTTCCCAGGCACGAATGGCACCACGGACCACTAGGCTGCTCAAACCAGAAGTTTAGGAGCTGTCATTGTGTCCCTTTCCCCTTTCTCCCTTCATTATTAGTAAGTCCTGTCAGCTCTGCCTCCAAAGTATGTCCTGAAGCTGTCTGTTTCTTTTCTCCTTCATTGCCACTTTCCTAGAACAAGCCACTGTCATCTCTGGTCTAGGCTACTATTATATAATAGCATTCTCAAGGGTTCTGTTTCCACTCTTTTTAAAAAAATATATATTTTATTGATTTTTTACAGAGAGGAGGAGAGAGGGATAGAGAGCTAGAAACGTCGATGAGAGAGAAACATCGACCAGCTGCCTCCTGCACGCCCTCCACAGGGGATGTTCCCGCAACCAAGATACATGCCCTTGACCGGAATCGAACCTGGGACCTTTCAGTCTGCAGACCGATGCTCTATCCACTGACCCACACCGGTTCCGGCTGTTTCCACTCTTTTTAAAATATATATATATTTTTATTGATTCTAGACAGGAAGGGAGAAGGAGGGAGAGAGACACGGAAACAATGATAAGAGAATCATTGATGGACTGCCTCCTGCACACCCCGCCCACTGGGGATGGAGCCTGAAATCTAGGCCTGTGCCCTGACTAGGAATCTAGCCGCAGCCTCCTAGTACATAAGTCAATGCTCAGCCACTGAGCCACACCGGCCAGACTCACACAAGTCTGTTTTTAATTGGCAAACACGCTAAGCTAATTCCTGCCCAGTCCCTTAATAATTGCTTTTATCCAGTAAGTTCTTTTACCTGTTTTTTTTTTTTGTAGGCTCTCTCTTTCCCATCATTCAAATCTCAGCTTACAGGCCATGTAAAAAATTCTTTCCTGCACTTTCTTGTCTCTTGTTCATACCTCTCCCCATTATATGTTTTATTCTCTTCATTAGTTCTTCTTACTATTTAACTGTTGTCTGCTTTACTGGAATTTAAGTGTTAGAGATCTGAGACTTCGTTTTGTTTATAGGTATATCTCTGATACACAGAACAGTTTCTGGCACCTATCAGGTGCTCCATTAATATTAATTGAAAGAATTAATGATGTCTAGGATGTTTTCTAGAGAAAATAGCCTTTCTTTTGGGGTGTTTTTTTAGGGCTCTACATGGTAGAGACATCATTGTAATTTGATGTGCTGATATAGAACCTTCAGTCATTTCTCAGGCAGTCGTGAGATAAAATGGGATGTTTCTCCACCTTTTGAAAGTGCTACTTGTTCATTTTTCTTTATAAGTTCTCCCTTTTTAAAGATATATGGTGGTATGACGTGGGAAATGGGGGTTGTAAACTAAAGCTTAGGGGACTGATATTCTAGCTGAACCATTTGGGGCTAAAATAAGTTCTGAGAAATTTATCCCAAGTTAGGGATGGTTATGGTTGTGATGGTGATGATGATGATGATGGGGTAGAGGCAGATTCAGACGTGCTGTTGTTTTAGCAAGTGAAGTGAAGTAGATTTTGTGGTCTGAGAGACAGTTGGCAGTGTGGCAGTGCTCAGTGTTTCCCAGGCAAAAGGAAACGGGACTTGATTCCTGCACAGACCATTCATGGGACTGGGTAATGATCAAGACTGTGAAAATCTGAGTAGGGAATGCCAGTCAGAATGTCAGAACTGTAGTTTTTGGTATCTACCTTCTTTTTTTCTGAAATAATTATAAGTTTATGGGAAGTTGCAACAACAACAAAAAAAGTTCATGGAGGGCCTATGTACCCTCAAGCTTTTCCCATTGAATAACTAGAAGTACATTTCTGTTTCTCCAGTTAAATTTAGTTTTTCCTTGAAATGTGACTATAATGCAAATCTCAAAGTTAAATGGCCCTCCCCCCTTATGAGCTTAAGAGAACATATCCCCTTCGATGTTTGTGTGTTGACTGATTCTGGTGGGCTAACAGGTATAGAAGACTCCTAGGATAAGCAATACAGGATGTTTCTAGAGGTGGTAGTACACTATTCATTCACTAACATCTCTTTTAATACTCTTGCAGTCTAAATTTAAAAATAAGGTATTTTAATTATATACTTTTAAAAACAAATATATAAAAAAAAACTAACCACAGAAAGGCAGTCCTAATATATAAAAACCCAGGGTCTGTAACATCCAAAACGACCGAAGGCTTGACCGACCTGAACGGCAACCCAGCACTGACTGCTGGCTGCAGGCGCAGGGACCCAGCATTGACTGCCGAGGGGGCTGTGGATCAGGCCCCAAGAGAGGCCTGGAGGGAAAATCAGGGTCTGATCAGTAGCCTCCGTAGCAGCTGTTGATCAGACCTGCCTCTCTGTTTCTCTCGGGGCCTGGCCAGCAGCAGCACCTCTCTTTCTCTCGGGCCTCTGCTGGGCTGCTGATAAGCTCTGCCAGCTGATCAGGCCTGGAGACCCTGATTGGCATAGAAACCGACCAATCAAAACCAAATCTGGGTGAACTGCAAAGGCAGAACCTAAGATGGAGACTAAGAAAGGGTTTTAAGGGCAACAGCTGGTTGGTGTAAAATGTAAGAAAGTGGTTCAATTTTTTAATGACCAGTTTGGCAGTATAGTGAATATGGCTGGCTATCACATCAGTCCAGATATAGGGATTATACGTTCTTGTCTACCAAGAGCATCCCCTCCTGATGAAAAAGGCTCCCCCCCCTATTTAATCAATCCTATATAATCTATCTATACTACTAAAAGAGTAATATGCTAATTAGACTGGGTCAACCAGCCATCTTTCGGACATCCGACTTCCTTCTAGCAAAGCCATGGTGGTGGGGGCCAAGGGAGAGGCCATTAGGGGTAATTAGGTCTGCAGGGGAGGGCAGTTATGGGTGATCAGATAGGCAGAGTGGTTAGGGGAAATCAGGCAGGCAAGCAGAGTGGTTAGGGGCAATCAGGCAGGCAGGCAAGTGAGCGGTTAGGAGCCAGCGGTCCCAGATTGCGGTCGGACATCCCTCAAGGGATCCCCAATTGGAGAGGGTGCAGGCTGGGCTGATGGAAAAAAAAAACCCTCCCCCCTGCATAAATTTTGTGCACTAGGCCACTAGTATCCTATATAATAAAGAGGGAATATGCTAATTGACCACCACACCCTCACAAGATGGTGGTGCCCATGGCCATAAGATGGTGGCGCCCAGTTCCCTCAGCCCTTCCTCATCCAGCTGGAGTCCCCCAGACCCCTTAGCCCCGCCTCACCCAGCCTCAGTCCCCCAGTCCCCTCAGCCCTGCCTCATCCAGCCAGAGTCCCCCAGTCCCCTCAGCCCTGCCTCATCAAGCCTCAGTCCCCCAGTCCCCTCAGCCCCGCCTCACCCAGCCTCAGTCCCCCAGTCCCCTCAGCCCCGCCTCACCCAGCCTCAGTCCCCTAGTCCCCTCAGCCCTGCCTCACCCAGCCTCAGTCCCCTAGTCCCCTTAGCCCCGCCTCACCCAGCCTCAGTCCCCTAGTCCCCTCAGCCCTGCCTCACCCAGCCTCAGTCCCCTAGTCCCCTCAGCCCTGCCTCATCCAGCCAGAGTCCCCCAGTCCCCTTAGCCCCACCTCATCAAGCTGGAGTCCCCCAGATCCCTTAGCCTCATCTCATTCAACTGGAGTCCCCAGGCCCCTCAGCCCGGCAGGGCAAGGCAGTTGGGGGTGATCGGGCCAGCAGGGGAGGGCAGTTGGGGACGATCATGCCGACAGGGAAGCAGTTAGGCATCAATCAGGCTGTCAGGGGAGCAGTTAGGGGGCTATCAGGCTGGTAGCCAGAGTGGTTAGGGGCAATCAGGCAGGCAGGCAGGCAGGTGACTGGTTAGGAGCCAGAAGTCCCAGATTGTGAGAGGGATGTCTGACTGCTGGTTTAGGCCCAATCCCAAGGGGTCCAAAATTGGAGAGGGTGCAGGCTGGGCAGGGGGACACTCCCCACCCCCATGCATGAATTTCATGCACCGGGCCTCTAATATAATAGTATAATGAGTAAAAGTGGTTGTCTGGAGCCACACTGCCTGAAACTCTGTCATTTACCACCTATGTGTTCTTAGGCAAGTTACTTTATATACCTGAGCTTCAGTATCCACATCTATAAAATAGACATACTAATATATCTATTTCATAGGGTTGTTTTGAGATTAAGTACTTATCTGTAAACAGCTCAGAGCAGTGCCCAGAACATAACAAGTACTCCTCTCACTCTTGACAGATGGCAGGAGAGTTGGCTGACAGGAAGGACCGTGATGTGTCACCTTCCAAGGAGGAAAGGAAGCGATCTCGGTCACCTGACAGGGAACGGGACAGAGACCGGGACCGGAAATCTTCCCCTTCTAAAGACAGAAAGCGGCATCGCTCAAGGGACAGGCGTCGAGGGGGCAGCCGGTCTCGCTCCCGTTCCCGGTCCAAGTCTGCGGAAAGGTAGAGTAACTTTGTATGTCTGCGATGTGGGATGGGAGAGTACATTTCAGACTTTTCATTCCTGGTTCCTCTGACACCTCCAGATTAGGAGGTGTCTGTACCTAGAGACTCATTAGCACAAAAGGTCCAGAGGTGGTTCATCTGTTCATATAGTCCATGTTCTATCATTGCCATTAATGCTTCGCAGAACAACCCTGAGCTGTAATGTCTCAGAAGCCCTCATAACTTCCCCAAGAAACGTATTTCTCAATTTGTGAAATGTTACTGGGGAGAAAAGATCATGGATCTTCTTTGGGCTGCAGTGAAGCCTGATACTCTGGAAATATCCAGTGATTTCTTAACTTTGTTGTCTTCAGAGACCGACGGCACAGAGAACGGGATAAGGAGCGGGATCGGAATAAGAAGGACCGAGATCGGGATAAGGATGGACACAGACGGGACAAGGACCGGAAACGATCCAGGTACCTGAGGGAATGAGAGGGCTCTTAAGAGGAATGCTCCCATCTCCTCTCTGCATCTGGAGTTTGGTCAGCTTTGTAAGAAGGTAAATTTCCCTTAGTGGGTCCTATTATCAGTTACTGAGGAGCTGCCTTTTTATTTTTATTTTTTATTTGAAAATATATTTTTATTGATTTCAGAGAAGAAAGAAAGAGAGACAGAGAGAGAGACAGAGACACCAATGATGAGAGAGAATCATTGATTGGCTGCCTCCTTCATGTTCCACACTGGGGATCAAGCCCACAACCTGGTATGTGTCTTCACTGGAAATTGAACCATGATCTAGTTCATAGGTCAATGTTCAACCACTGAGACACACCGGCTGGGCAGAGCTGTCTTTTTTTTTTTAGAAGGCACGTGTCTTTAGAACATAAAACGGTTAGTGAAGTCACAACTCTTGAGGGTCAGCTTGTTCTTAGAATTTAGAAATGAGTTTGAAAAGGTTAACAGCCTACAAAGCACTCCTTTAGCTCCACTGAACCATTCAGTTTTCTACCCAGGATATACAGCATGTGTTTTTGGGAATAGCTTAATGCCTTAGTATCTTTCTTTTTTTAATATATTTTATTGATTTTGTACAGAGAGGAAGGGAGAGGGAGAGAGAGTTAGAAACGTCGATGAGAGAGAAACATCAACCAGCTGCCTCTTGCACACCTCCACTGGGGATGTGCCCACAACCAATGTACATGCCCTTGACCGGAATCGAATCTGGGACCTTTCAGTCCGCAGACCGACGCTCTACCACTGAGCCAAACCAGTTTCAGCAATGCCTTAGTATCTTGATAGCTTTCTTCTTTTTATGCAGAGTTTTTATTTGGCCCCTAATATTGCTTAGAATTCAGGGCAAAGGACAGAATTCTTATAACAAAGTTGTTTGAGACCTCTTGAAGATTAAACTTATAGCAGATGTGGGGAAAGGATTGCTGTGTCTGATAGTAAGGAAAATGAGGAGGGGACATATATAGCAGTGTCTTGGAGGGGTGTATATGGGTGGCTGTGTAACTTAATTCACTATGTATTATAAAGCAGGAGTTTTTTCCTTTCAATGTGCATTTGCTATTTGGATAACATATTTTTGACGTCAAAATACTTGCAAATACTTTGAAGTGAAGACCCACTTGCCAGAAGAAATTAGTTTCAGAAAAGGAGATTCAGGTAGATTGGGACAAGACAGGGCCACCGTTATGTTTCAGAGCAGGCGGAGTGACCGTGCCTGCAAAGGAAGTGTCCGGTCCTGTGTGTGACCCTGAGCCGGTCTCGCTGAGTCATGGGAAAAACTCCCATCCTCTCTTTGGGGTCAGCCTGAACCTCATTCAGGGGCTGGAGTAAGACAGCAATAGACCTTTTCTGTTTCTTTTTCTTAAAGTTTATCTCCTGGACGAGGAAAAGATTTTAAATCTCGGAGAGACAGAGACTCGAAGAAGGATGACGACGATGAACATGGTGATAAGAAGCCTAAGGCAAGCAAGAGGAAGGGTTTCTCATTTTCCTCTTGAATTCAAGCCCAATTTTGTGAACTTCAAAGGGATAGAGCTTTTATGGACTGAAGCCCTGTGTTTTCTCTTCAGGCCCAGCCATTATCCCTAGAGGAACTTCTGGCCAAGAAAAAGGCTGAGGAAGAAGCTGAGGCTAAGGTAAGAACTTGAGGGTCTGTATTAGTTGGCCAGGGCTGCCATGAGAAAACACCACAGACTGGGTGACTTAACAGAAATTTATTTGCTGACCATTCTGGAGGCTCGTTGTCTGAAATCAAGGTGGCAGCAGGGCTGTTTCTTCTGAAGCCTCCTTGGTTTGTGGATAAATGTCTTCATCTTCACATGGTCTTCCCTCTGTGCATGTGTATTCCTGGTGTATATATAGCCAAAATTTTTAGAAATACATATTTTTAAAATAGATTTTTATTGATTTTAGAGAGAAAGGGAGAGGGAGAGAAAGACAGAAACATCGATGAGAGAGAAATATCAATCGTCTGCCTTCTACACACATCATCCTGGGCATCGAGCCCACAGCCTGGGCATATGCCCTGACTGGGAATCGAACCAGTGACCTCCTGGTGCATGGAGTGATGCTCAGCCAACTGAGCCACACCAGCTGGGGCAAACTTTTTTTTTCTTTTTTATTTCTTAATTTTTTTAAAAAATAGCCGAAGCCGGTTTGGCTCAGTGGTAGAGTGTCGGTCTGCGGACTGAAGGGTCCTGGGTTCGATTCCGGTCAAGGGCATGTACGTTGGTTGCGGGCACATCCCTGGTAGGGGGTGTGCAAGAGGCGGCTGGTCTATGTTTCTCTCTCATATTTTATTGACTTTTTTACAGAGAGGAAGGGAGAGAGATAGAGAGCTAGAAACGTCGATGAGAGAAACGTTTGGCTCTACCACTGAGCCAAACCGGTTTCAGCAAACTTTTTTTTTCTTATAAGGACACTAGTCAGATTGAATCAGGACTTACCTAATGGCCTCATTTTACCTTGATGCTTCTTTAAAGATCCTGTCTTCAAACACAGCCGCAGTTTGAGGTGCTGGGGGTGATGGCTTCCATATATGCATCTTGAGGGGACAAAATTCAGCCATCACAGGACCCTAAGCCTGTTTGTGTTTTTTTTAACGGGTTTAATGCCTGAGCAAATATTTTTGAGCTTCCTGCCATCTCCCAAACACCAGCGGTGTTCTAGATCCTTTGTTTACAGTTCCAATCTATTTTGTAGCCCAAGTTTCTGTCCAAAGCAGAACGGGAGGCTGAAGCCCTGAAGCGACGGCAGCAGGAGGTGGAAGAGCGGCAGAAGATGCTTGAAGAAGAGAGGAAGAAAAGGAAACAGTTTCAAGACTTGGGCAGGAAGATGTTGGGTTCGTTTTCCGACCCCTCCAGCCCTTGGATGGGATAGAAACGGGTGGGATGGGGTAGGAAGAGCTAAAAACCTGTTCTGTAGTTTGGAAGAGGAAAGTATGGGGGAAGTTTATAAGAAAAGCATCTTTCTATTATAGCTCCCATTTCCCTTGTCTCATAAGTCTCCCTTTTTTCTCATGTGGTGTCCATTGTCGGGGTCCTGCCATGCTCTTTTTATTCCCACTGAGCTCGTCTGCAGCTCTGCCTGCTTTGTCTGCAGAAGACCCTCAGGAACGAGAGCGCCGGGAGCGCAGGGAGAGGATGGAGCGGGAGACCAACGGGAACGAGGACGAGGAAGGGCGGCAGAAGATCCGGGAGGAGAAGGATAAGAGCAAGGAGCTGCATGCCATTAAGGTGCAGGCCCTGGCTCTGTTTTCACCCCCCTCCCCACACACAAAGGAGCTTTAATTATTCAGCCATTCTGATCTCTGCATGCGCGCTTTGGGCCTGAAGCTTGAAGGGCTCTGTGTTGTCTGGGCAGGAGCGTTACCTGGGTGGCATTAAGAAGCGGCGCCGAACGAGGCATCTCAATGACCGCAAGTTTGTCTTTGAGTGGGATGCATCTGAGGACACATCGATCGACTACAACCCACTGTGAGTGGCTTCCGGCCTAAACTAGATCTCTCTTTTTTTTTTTTAATTACAGTTGACATTCAATATTTTGTTAGTTTCAGATATATGGCACAGTGGTTGGACATTTATGTAACTTTCAAAGTGATCCCCCCCATAAGTCTCGTACCCACCTGAGACCATACAGTTATTACATTAGTATTGACTATATTTTTTATGCGCTACTTTACATCCCAGGACTATTCTGTAACTGCCAATTTGTACTTCTTAGTTCTTTCACCTTTTTCACTCAGGTTCCCAAACCCCCTTCCATCTGTCCCATCAATTCTATTATGAGTCTGTTTCTGTTTTGTTGGTGTATTTATTTTGTTTTTAGATTCCGCATATAAGTGAAATCACATGGTAGTTGTCTTTCTCTGTCTGACTTATTTCACCTAACACAATACCCTCTAGGTCCATCCATGTTTTGCAGATGGTAAGATTTTTTTTTTAATGGCTGAGTAATATTCCATTGTTTATGTGTACCACATTTTCTTTGTCTAATTGTCTATGTTGGACACTTAGGTTGGTTGATTCCATATATTGGCTGTTGTAAATAATGCTGCAGTGAATATAGGGGTGCATATATCTTTTCCAGTTAGTGTTTTGGATGTCTTTGGATAAATACTCAGAAGTAGGATTGCTGGGTCATATGTTAATTTTGTTTTTAATTGAGGACTGCCATACTCTTTTTCCATAGTGGCTACAGCAATTTGAATCCCGCCAACAGTGTACAAGGGTTCCCTTTTGTCTACACTCTCCCCAATACTTGTTATTTTATTTATTTATTTATTTATTTTTATTTTATTATTTTTTTAGGGGCGGGGGTTCCTGGGGACAACTTGGGGGGCGTTGTTATTTTTTTATAAGAGGCATTCTGACAAATGTGAGATGATACTGGGTTTTTTTTGGTGTGTCTTTTAAAAATATATTTTATTGATTTTTTACAGAGAGGAAGGGAGAGAGATAGTTAGAAACATTGATGAGAGAAACATCGACCAGCTGCCTCTTGCACACCCCCCACTGGGGATGTGCCCGCAACCAAGTTACATGCCCTTGACCGGAATCGAACCCGGGACCTTTCAGTCCGCAGACCGATGCTCTACCACTGAGCCAAACCGGTTTCCGCTGATACTGGTTTTGATTTGCATTCCCTGATGATTAATGATGTGAGCATCTTTTCGTGTGTCTATTGGCCCTCTGCATAATCTCTTTGGAGAAATGTCTATTCAGGTCCTCAGCCCATATTTTTACTCAGATGGTTTGTCTTTTTGGTGCTAAGTTGTGTGAGTTCTTTACATATTTTATTTATTTTTCAACAACAAACATTTCTTGCAATTCTGAAAGCTGAGAAATCTAGCATCAGGGATTCAGGGTATCTAATGTTTAGGGAGAACAGTATTCTTGATTTGTACATGAATCTTCACATGGCAAAGAGCCTGAGTTCTTTCTATATTTTAGATATTAACCTCTTGTCAAATGTATTATTAACGAATAACTTCTCCCATCTCGTAGGTTGTCTGGCAGTTCTAGAGAGAAACTGTGACTGTAGAGACAGGATTAAGATAAGCCAGGATGGGGAAATTGGTAAACTAGTGTTAACTCAGCCCCCTGGGTGAGGAAAGACCCAGCTAGGAAGGGGAATGCACGTATTGGTGGTCTGCCCTTCCCTCCTGCCCCTGTAACAGCTCCTTTCCTCCCTTCTCTGTCCCAATCCCAGGTACAAAGAACGGCACCAGGTGCAGTTGTTGGGGCGAGGCTTCATTGCAGGCATTGACCTAAAGCAGCAGAAACGAGAACAGTCACGTTTCTATGGAGACCTCATGGAGAAGAGGAGGACACTGGAAGAAAAGGAGCAGGAGGAGTGAGTGGTCAGGGCTGGGGTGGTTGGGCACAGCCCGGAGTGTACAGAAAGGAGTTGGGGAAACTGATCCCACTTATTCCTCATGATCCTGCTCCAGGGCAAGACTCCGCAAACTTCGTAAGAAGGAAGCCAAGCAGCGCTGGGATGACCGTCATTGGTCCCAGAAGAAGTTAGATGAGATGACGGACAGGGACTGGCGGATCTTCCGTGAGGACTACAGCATTACCACCAAAGGTGGCAAGATCCCTAATCCCATCCGATCATGGAAAGACTCTTCTCTGCCCCCACACATCTTGGAGGTCATTGATAAGTGTGGCTACAAGGTAAGGAGGAGCAGATAAGTTCAGAAGACCTGGCATGTTCCTATGTTGTAGGGCAGTGTTTCCCAAACTTTCTACATATGTGTACCCCTTCTATAATTTTCTTTTTTTTTTTTTTTAATATATTTATTGATTTTTGTACAGAGAGGAAGGGAGAGAGATAGAGAGTTAGAAAAATCAATGAGAGAGAGTCATCGATCAGCTGCCTCTTGCACACCCCCTACTGGGGATATGCCCGCAACCAAGGTACATGCCCTTGACTGGAATCGAACCCGGGGCCCTTCACTCCCCAAGCCGACGCTCTATCCATTGAGCCAAACCAGTCCTGGCCCCTTCTATAATCTTTGTAACGCTTAGTACCCCTCGTACTCATGAGAATGTAGAATTAGGCGCAGCTAAGCACGGTGCAGTGCATATCCCCACCAAACTCCGGTACAACGCGTACCCCCACCAAACTCTTCCCGTACTTCTGGGGGTACGCGTACCACACTTTGGGAAACACTGTTGTAGGGGATACAAACTTTGTGCCTTGACTGTTGGGTGCCTTCGCTGCCAGTGGGCACCAAGGTGATACTGTCTATTACTTCTTGGTGGAAGTATTGGCCTTAAGTGATTGTGTTTCTTCTCAGGTCCCCATTCCAGTTAAGTAGGCTCAGTGTCCTCCCATTGTGCTAGCATATGTGCCCACTCTATCAGCAGTAGCCCAGGTAGCATAATTCTGCCTGTACCATTACTCTCTCTGGGTCACTGTAGGAACCAACACCTATCCAGCGTCAGGCCATTCCCATTGGGCTTCAGAATCGTGACATCATTGGTGTGGCTGAGACTGGCAGTGGCAAGACAGCAGCCTTCCTTATTCCGTTGCTGGTCTGGATCACCACTCTTCCCAAAATCGACAGGTGGGGTCATCTGTTAACAGTTGGAGTGGTTTAACTGGGTAGGGATGGTGAAAGTGGCAAATGAGTGTTTGGTTTTCTTTTTTTTTTTTCTTTTTTGAATCTTTATTGTTGAAAGTATTACATATGTCCCCTTTTCGCCCCATTTATCCCCTCTAGCCTGCCCCCATGGTTTCCTTTTCTTCTTTTAAAAAAGTTTTTATTGATTTTAGAGAGGAAAGGAGAGGGAGAGATAGAAACATCAGTGATGAGAGAGACTCATTGATTGGCTGCCTCCTGCATGCTCCCTACTGGGGATCGAGCCTGCAACTCCGGACATGTGGCCAGACTTGGAATCGAAACATGATCTCCTGGTTCATGGGTCTATGTTCAACCACTTAGCAACACTGGCTGAGCTAGAGTCTCTGATTTTTCTTTTTTTAATCTTCAAACATTTTATTTTTTAATCTTTATTGTTGAAAATATTCCATATGTCTCCTTTTTTCTCCCATTGACTCCTTATAGCTCACCCCGCCCCAGGCCTTCACTACCCTATTGTCTGTATCCATGGTTATGCATATTAGAGTCTCTGATTTTTATTTTTTATTTTATTTTATTGATCTTTTACAGAGAGGAAGAGAGAGGGATAGAGAGCTAGAAACGTCGATGAGAGAGAAACATCGACCAGCTGCCTCTTGCACACCCCCTACCGGGGATGTGCCCGCAGCCAATGTACATGCCCTTGACCGGAATTGAACTGGGACCTTTTAGTTCGCAGACCGACGCTCTACCACTGAGCCAAACCGGTTTCGGCAGAGGAGTCTCTGATTTTTAAGGGATATCATTGCATCCTCTTCCCACCATCCTCTCCATTTCCATAGCTGCTCTTAAGTGTGACTTTGTCTTGCTCCTGTTTGTGGCTGCATGGGAACCAAAGCTCATGAAACTGGGATGCCCCATTTACCACAGGATCGAAGAGTCAGATCAGGGCCCTTATGCCATCATCCTGGCCCCCACCCGCGAGTTGGCTCAGCAGATTGAGGAAGAGACCATCAAGTTTGGGAAGCCACTAGGCATCCGCACTGTGGCTGTCATTGGCGGCATCTCCAGAGAAGACCAGGGCTTCAGGCTGCGCATGGGCTGTGAGGTTTGTTCACCGGGCCAGCAGCCAGCCCACCATTTGGGCTCTGCTGTTTTGCTTTGTTTTCTTCCAGTTTCTGCCACAGACATTCAATCAAATGAAGAAAAGGGCTGATTTCTATAGGTGTATTACTGTTATTGAGAACTTATGCTCCAGGGATTGTACTGTGCGTGTCAGTAATTCTCACAACCATATGAGAGCACAGAGGGGAACGTCCGTTTTACAGATGCAGCTGAAGCTCTGGTTAAGAACTTGTCCAAAGTCGCACAGCTGGTAGTGGACAGAACTGAGATTCATATCCAAATCCTGTGCCCTTAATCTCTGCCAGACCAAGTCATTGACTTTGCGTGTTGCCACCTTTCAGGTTGGCAAAGGAGAGCTTTTTATAACAAGTCTGATATAGGAATTGCGTTTTCTGCAGACTTCTTAGCGTATTATTTTATATAATCCTCTTCACAATATCTCTTAGTCTCTCTAAAAAAATTCCTTCTGTTTGCCTCCTCTATCTAACCTCTGTATTTTATTCAAAGACCCCATTCATTCTTGAAAAAATGCAAGATAACAACAAGTAATTTTGTGCCAATTCTCAGGAACCTTCACTGCCAAACATAGAGGTTGGGGTCTAAATTTCTTAGCATTGGAGTTCTGTTGTCCAAGTGAGTGGATAGTACAGAGAAGAGAGAAGAAGGGTGTATCTGCTGGGGCTACATATGATTCCACTGTACCCCCTAGATTGTGATTGCTACCCCAGGACGTCTGATCGATGTGCTGGAAAACCGCTATCTGGTGCTGAGCCGCTGCACCTACGTGGTTCTGGATGAGGCAGATAGGATGATTGACATGGGCTTTGAGCCAGACGTCCAGAAGATCCTGGAGCACATGCCTGTCACCAACCAGAAGCCGGACACGGATGAGGCTGAGGACCCTGAGAAGATGTTGGCCAACTTTGAGTCAGGAAAACATAAGTACCGCCAAGTAAGGCTGCTTCCCTGGGTTGGGGAGATTTGGGCAAGTTGGCAAACCTGCCCTAGGGCCCTTCTTGCCTTACACGGGCTCAGAGTACATGTTTCCAAAATGGTGAGGCCTGCCTAGATGCAATCCTCTGACAGTTGTAGCCATTTAGCTTAACCCTGGAAAAATGATGCCAAACAGTCATGGTACTGTCCACTATAGATGCTAGCCAATGCTCTCAGCCCTTCTTATCATCATGAGATGCAAAGTTCAGGTACTAAGGAAAGAAGTGGGAAGGCAGAGGACACTATTTCCTAAGGTGGTGGCTGTGAAAGTTTACACCGTGGTATAATTTAGATTCTTCAGCCTGGGCTGTATGCCTGTGGTGATGGTAGGACATGTGATTGTATCTTCCTGGGCCCAAGGCTGAGCATCCTGTTTTCCTAGACGGTCATGTTCACGGCCACCATGCCCCCAGCCGTGGAGCGTCTGGCTCGGAGCTATCTCCGGCGGCCTGCTGTGGTGTACATTGGCTCTGCAGGCAAGCCCCATGAACGTGTGGAACAGAAGGTCTTCCTCATGTCAGAGTCAGAGAAGAGGTATGGGGACAGCTGAGCCGGGGAAACAGGGTGGAGAAGGGGAGTGGTGGCTGAGGGGCAATTGTTCTGCCTTGTTTTCTTGTTCAATGCCATGGGCATTGAAGAGCCTGGAATTGATGTTTGTAGATCAGGGTTGGGCATTTCACTAGAAGTAAGAGGTCATGTGCATCTCATTTTTCTCCTCTTCTCCCCAGGAAAAAGCTGCTGGCAATCTTGGAGCAAGGCTTTGACCCACCCATCATCATTTTTGTCAACCAGAAGAAGGGCTGTGATGTTTTGGCCAAATCCCTGGAGAAGATGGGGGTGTGTCTGGCAGGGGAGGGCAAAGTCCAGTCTCTTTGGTGTTGCTTTCTGAAATTAGAGGGCCCTTCCTAGGCTCTTGCTATCAATTTTCACTCATTTTTGAACTTCAGTATTGAACAAGTCAGGGCCAGAGGGGAAAGGGAGGTGTGATGGAGATAGGAGGACTATGGCTATCCATTCCAGTAGTGCCTGCCAGAGCTCCCTTGGTCTCCCTCCAGGCGGGCTTGGGCCAGGGAGACTTGTTTATTTTTGTGTGTTTTTGTTATTTTATATATATATAAGTATATATATATATATATATATATATATATATATATATATATTCACACACTTCTATTATTTTAAGTATTACAAATAGTAGTACATATGTCTCCTTTTTTATATATTTATTTTTAAATATATTTTTATTGATTTCAGACAGGAAGGGAGGAGAGAAACATCAATGATGTGAGAGAATCATTGATTGGCTGCCTCCTGCTCACCCCCTACTGGGGATGGAGCCCACAACCTGGGCATATACTCTGACTGGGAATGGAACTATGACCTCCTGGTTCATAGGTCAGTACTCAATCACTGAGCCACACTGGCCCAGCTAGGAAGAGGTTTTGAGACACGTATTCTGTCAGGGTCTGAGGATGTGGAATAGGATGTGTTGTTTTATGAATGTTTGGGAGCGGGGATAGTGTGGTCAGCAGGGAGATGTTGATCAGTATCTTGATACTCAATGTTTAAACTTCCTTACATTTCTTGATCTCTGCTTTCGACCCTCATCTTGCCCTCATCCTCTCTGACTACTTCTAATCTGTCTCCATATCTCACCCCTGATTGACCTTGCCTTGGCGCGCTCTGCCATGCCACATCCTGTTCTCCCACCCATTCTTCAGCTCACTTGTACTCTCCTTCTTTCAATTGCACTTGTTCTTTCTCCTGCCTCCTTTCCCTTTTCCTTCTACCCTGCTGCTCTCTGAAACCCTACCTCTCGGTCCTTACCCCCTTAACTTCTGTATCTTTCCATGATTCCATTGCACTTTCTTCACCTCACCATTCTCCCCACAGTACAATGCTTGTACATTGCATGGTGGAAAAGGCCAGGAGCAGCGAGAATTTGCACTGTCCAACCTCAAGGCTGGGGCCAAGGACATTCTAGTGGCTACAGATGTGGCAGGTCGTGGTATCGACATCCAAGATGTGTCTATGGTGGTCAACTATGATATGGCCAAAAACATTGAAGGTAAGTGTGAGGACAGTGGCTGCAACCTTGTCTCATTTCCCTCGAGTTGGGGTGCTACTGCCCTCTCTCATAGCTGTCTCAAATGGCGTGTCCCAGGGAGAAGAGCCCCTCCTCTTTTTTTAAGATTTGAAAATTGATTTGTAGAGAGGAAAAGGGATATGGGGAGAAACATTAATTGAAGATGAAACATCAATTGGCTGCCTTCTGCATACCCCCTACCTGGGATTGAGCCCACAACTCAGGCATGAATGGAACCAGCAACCTTTTGGTGAATGGAATGACACCCAACCAACCGAGCCACACTGGTCAGGGCGAGCTCCTACTCTATCTCATGTGGGTGTGTTGTCCCAGGACCTGGGGTAGCACACTGTGTTTGGGGTGTGGGAGGTAATGGAACTGGCCCCTCTCAATCTCAGTGTGGTAGGATGACCCCATCAGTAGTAGTTGTGGGGAGAACTCTGTGGGTACCGCAGGTTCAGGTAGTATGAGTCTATTCCTGCCTGTGGAGATGTGGGGAGGACGATGCCTTTATAAGCAGAGGCTTCAGACACTGCTCACCAGGGCATCTGGCCTGGTGCCCTGAGTAACGTTCCTCTCCCCCTCCCCAGATTATATCCACCGCATTGGCCGCACGGGACGAGCAGGCAAGAGTGGTGTGGCCATCACCTTCCTCACCAAAGAGGACTCTGCTGTGTTCTATGAGCTGAAGCAAGCCATCCTGGAGAGCCCCGTGTCTTCCTGCCCCCCAGAGCTAGCCAACCACCCAGACGCCCAGCACAAACCAGGCACCATCCTCACCAAGAAGCGCCGGGAAGAGACCATCTTTGCCTGACACAGCACTCCTCCCACCGGTGTGAGGGCAGGCTCCGAAGCCTGTGCTTCAAGACCCTCACGTCTCCCTGTCCAGGTCCTCACTCTCATGGGGGCTTAGGAAAAACTCAGACTGTGAGGCTAGACCCTCAGGTTTGAAGGCCCGAGTGTGGGCTGCGAGAGGAGGGAAGCTGCTGCAGGAGACAGGGAGACAAATTACCATAGGTTTGGGCCCAGCTCTGCCCCTCCAGCTGACTCGGGGATTGCCAGGTCCGGGGGCAGCCAATGGCATTGCCTGCCAGGCTGCCGGGAGGGCTTCGGCACAGACTTGACTGCATAAGCGCCGGCAGCCTTGTTGCCCTAGATGACCCAGGGGACCCGGCGCTGAGGATTATGAACCTTGGACTCGTACTGTCGTTTTGATAGCATTTGCCCTTTTGGATGATAAAACGGGGCGTGCGCCTTGTGTAGAGCTGTGCGCGGCCCCTGTGCCAGGGGTGCTGTGCACTCCAGGCATCCCTCACCCGGGAATTTTTTTAGACGTGGGACAGGGTGAGAGGCTGTGTCCATCTTGAAGTCACTGAGTAAAATTTCTGTTTTCTATTCTCTGAAAAGATGAGTTTGTATGTTCTGAGAATAAATACGTGAATATTAAGGCTGCGTCTAGTTCTAGCTAACCATCTCCCAGGGGGTTCCTGGTTCCACAGAAGACAGACTTAGGAGATGAAAGATCACATCTATAGCAGATCCTAGGATCTCAGCTGATAGTCTGTCTACAGGAGGCACTGAAGGGGTTGGAAAAGCCATGACAGCAGTGGCCTAATGCATCTTTCCTCCCCATCTCTAGCCTCACTGAACGTGTAGCTCTGGCCTGGATACCCTGGGGAGCTTTCCACAGGGTGGGAAAGGAAAGCAGTTGTGAAACTGGCAGGTGAGGCACACTTGGGACCATTCTCATCCCCCGATTCTGTGTGCCTCACACCCAGCTTTTAGGCTCGTTGCTTGTGGCTCCCCAGTTGCTGAGCTCACTGCTCGTGGGAGGGGTGGAGATGGATACCAGGAGCCCCAAGGAGTGAGGAGTTAGGTTTTAGAAAGAGGGCTGCAGGGCCCGGTTCCTCCCTCAGTGCCATCTTATGCCTTACTCTAAAATTGTTGGGCAAATACATGACATTCAACTTGAAGCTACAGGGCCTGAGGCGGGGACAGTGTAGGCTGAGTAAGCCTCTTCCCCACCGCCCCAAACCTTTCTGTGCTGCTGAACCCCTAGATGCACTGGGCCTGAGGGCAAAGGAGGAGGGGCCTGGGAATACAATTTCTTCCCCAGCTCTCCTTTGTCCCTTTCCACTCTGGGTCCTCTGAGAGAGAGGAGGCCAGGACATTTCTTTGCCTTCTCTAGACTTGGGCCACACAGTGAGGAACCGGCCGCCTGAGCCGGCAGACAGAACAGGAGCCCGGAGGACTGTGCATGGTGTTTATTAGTGATGACAGTGAGGTGGGTCAGGGTCTTGTGGAGCATGCTCTGTAGGTCACACACTAGAGCCACAAGGCAAGGGTAGCCGGGCAGACAGGGCCTCTGAGGGCTGTCCACTGTGTCTCTCTCCACCTAACCGGAACATAACAAGCAGCAGCTATGAATGAGGGAATAAAGTTTGGGGCCCATATGCCCCAAAGGAGGCACGAGGGCCAAGAACAGAAATGACAGGATGCAAGAGCGAAAGGATGAGGGGGGCAAGGGGGCCCCCAAAGCTGTTCCACACGGTCTCTGCTACACATGCGCTCCCTTCCCAAACCCTCAGCTCGGGCCAGCTCCTGTCCCTGGTCCCGTCATTAGGAAGACTCCCGGCAGGGTGAGGACACCCTTCCACTCCAGACCCTCAGCTGTGAGGCCTTTGGCCGTAGCCCAGCCAGCCTGCTACTCCAGCCTCCTACGTAGATGCCTCCCCAGCTGATGGAGGGGAGTGCCACCCTGTCGGGCTCTGATTGTCTCTTTTCTCGAGTGGCAGTGAGGTGAGTGGAGGTCCTCAGACCCCAAAGCACAAAGCCTGAGTCCTCTGACTGTTAGGACTTGTGTCTGCTCAGGAGCCTGTTTCTTCCTCATGCCATGTTGCCCACACCCCTTCTTGTCACTTTGAGGGGGCATCCCTTCCCTGAGTCTAGTGGGAAGGTCCCTGCTAAGGGGATCCTGGCCTGAGGGCACTGCCCAGTGGGGCAGCTTGTTGTGCAGGAGGAGAGGAAGGTGCCAGGGGTGCAGCACACACAGCTAGTACCTGGAATGGGAACTTAGGGGGGGTCACTGCCCAGGAGGTAAGGGGGACCCTGCGTTTCCAAGAACCTTAGGATCACAGGCAGCCCTGGAGCTGGGCAGGGGGTTGTGAGGGGCTGAGCCTAGTGCCAGTCTAATGCCAACCTGCCTGGAGTGGGTGCCCCAGCCAGCTGTGCTTGTGCCTGCCAGGGTAGGACAGCAGGAGGCGGTCAGTAGCTATCCTTGGGCCAGGGCCGGTTGCGCTGCCAGTTCCGCTCATTGTGATTGCTCTCCGAGTCCTGGGCGAGGAGTCGGTCTTGGGGGTCATGCCCGTTAGCACTAGGCAGCCCAGACGTGTGTTGGCGGTGAGGCTGGTACAGGTCCTGGTAGGCGTCTGCATAGTCCTCCTCCAGGTGGCGGGAGCTACGCTGCGAGGATCCTGTCCAGGCTTGGCGGGAGCTCTCGCTGGCCTCATCCGAGGGCATCAAGCTGTCCCGCTCAAGGGGTGAGTGTTCCTCGCCACGCTCCCCCAGCAGCTGCTGGTTCTGGGGATAACACACCGGCTCTAAGGGAGGCGGTACGACCTCGCCGTGGCCTCCCTCCCATGTCTCCTAGGACTACTGCGACGGGGAATTCTTCCCCCTCAACCCTCAGTTCCTGGGCTCGGGAAATAGTGCAAGGGAGGGAAGCATACTGGCTTATTCTTCCTCTTCAGATATGGAAAACTGGAGCTTTTGACTCCAGCAAAATTCAGTCTCTGCCTTCAAGACAGACCAGAGAGCCCTCACCGGTTTGGCTCAATGGAGAGGGTGCCGGCCCATGGACTGAAGGGTCCCAGATTTGATTCCAGTCAAGAGCATGTACCTTGGTTGCAGGCTCAATCCTTGGCCCTGGTGTGGGAGGCAACCAATTGATGTGTCTCCCTCACATCGATGTTTCTCTGTCTCTCTCTCTCTCTGACACTCCCTCTAAAGATCAATGGAAAAATATCCTCCAGTGAGGATGAAAAAATAAAATAAAATAAAAAATAGAGAAGTTTGAGAGTATGTTTCTTTTGAGCCTTAGGAAAGTAACCTGTTACCCATCGTATTGATTTATTCCCTCTCATCAGGAAGTTCCTTTGTCCATCTGCCCTAGCTCAAACTGGAGGCCAAGGACAAGCCTCTGGGCAGGGAGGGGGCATTGCTTTGGCTGGCTTAGCCTACACATCAGTGCCAAATGGAAATGATTACCTGAAGTCCAGGGATGGCACTGGGAGGACCCAGAAGTCCCGGGCTGGGGGCTGGGTGGTGGGTGGCACGCCAGTAAACTTCCAGGTACTCGGCCAGGTGCTCACAGGCATCCTCCAGCTGGTTCTCATCCAAAATCACGTCGAAGGACTCCTGGGGAAAGGAGGAATGTTGGCTTCCCCACCCCATCTCCTTCACGGCCCCAGCCCTAGAAAAGCAAGAGTGGGCACAGGGGCAGCTGCCCCGGGCACTCACTGGTGGGCACTGAACCAGCTTATCATACGCCATCATCTGCACAGTCAGATGCTTCATCTGTGACTTCCCTCGGGAGCGGATGAGACGCTGGAGTACCTGAGGGGAAAGGGCAGAGTGCGGCCTGGAGCCTCGGGGGGCCCTGGGCAGAGCTGGGCCTAGAAGGAGCTGGGCATGTCCCCCACTTGTGATCTGGCACCAGGAAAAGGGAACTCAGGAGCCCAGGTGCAGGTGCCAAGCTAAGCAGTGAGGCATTCTAGGAGGGCAACCCTGGGGGCCTCCCCACCTCTGCTGCCGACTTACCTTCGGTGAGGATACTTTGACAAACACAATGATGGGGGCCAGTGAGGTCTTGGCCAGCTGTGCTGGGTGGTTGATGGTGTCAGCATCCAACACTACCAGCTGCAGGGATTTGGCCAGCTCAAAAATGCGCTCAATCTCACTCTGTACTTCAGCTATAGAGGGAGCAAGTGAGCCACAGTGTTCACCGGCGGCTCCCCCCACTTCCTCCAGTGGGGTTTGGGGGCCTCCCCAATAATGGAGGGAGAGGGCATTCATCAAAGCCTGGGCAGGCAGAAGAACAGGGAACTGAGGAGACTGGTCTTGCCAATCGTGGGGACGGGCAGAGGAAGAGCTGGGGAAGAAAAAGGGAGGAGGAAGGTTCTCGGGTAGAGGCCTTGAGCAGAGAAGCAGGAGCTGCGGGCTTCTCACCGATGCTGGAGCGGGCGGAGGAACGCTCAATGATGGTCCTCTTGCCAGGATTGTTGAGCACAGAGCGCTTTGCCAGCGAGAGGTCAGCGGTGACGCGGGTGATGGAGATCCTGGGGAGGCAGTGGAGATTACAGCTCACTTCTTAATTGAGCTCTAGGCCCCTCCTAACTCCTGACTTTCCCTTCAGAAAAGACCTTGCTATAGACATATGTTAGGAGGCAATGATGTTCTCTCTGGTTCTCAGGCCACCTCAGGCCAGAGCAGCTTACCTGCCATCAAACCTGTGTTTGAGGAAGTCAAAGAGAGCCTTCTGCATCATGTCTGTGACCTAGTGGGAGAGATGAGGAGAACGGAATGGAACTGGCTGAGGGCCTTCTTGGAGAAGGGCAGCGGCAGCAGGCATGGCCCTGGAGCCCATCCCCTCCACACACAGGCCCCTCCCATTGTCCCCGGGGCCTTCCCATGGCAGGCTTGGCAGAGGTGACCTTTGGGGTCAAGGCCTTCTCTCACCTCATAACCTTTCAGAGAGGGTCCCACCAGCACCACAGGCCGCATGGAGGGCACCACATCATATGGGGGGACATGTTCCGCCTGCAGAATTGACCTGAGGTCAAGCAAAGCCGTGGCCTGGTGGCCTGCCCTCTGCCTGACTGGCGTGGGGACAATTCAGAAGCTCTGGGCTCCCTCCCTCCCTGTTCTGCGGCCCCTCCACAATGGCTGCCCAGAAGCCTGTTCCTACAGCCATGAGCCCCCAAGCCCAGGTCCCTTCCTTGACTCACCTGTTTTTGCTTCTGCTTGGCTTTTTGGAAAAGGAAATAAAAGATTAATGTTGGTGAAGGGGGGGAAAGGCCCTGGGGGCATGCATTCCCCTCCCCAGGGGAGACCTGGGCTTCTGCCAGCTCTTCGGACCTCTCCCCAACCCCTCCCCACACAGTTCACCTGGGGAAACATCTCCCTGCCCGGGTCCTAGTGACCCACCTACCCAAGACAGGTGGGCTGTGGGGAGGCTACCTAGAGATGGAGGAGGGGAGCGTCGGTTGCCAATGTCACTCAGGCTGGAAGGGTTTCCGGATCTCCTGAGAGGAGAAAGGAAGGTCAGTGTGCGCCTGTGTTCCACACATTAGTTAACAGTCGTATGCATTTCCTTGTGGTTTAGCTAGTGAGGGAGGTGTGGCATGTGCATCTGTGTGTGCCTGCGCGCATTATCTGTGCATGTCAATGTGCACAGGTGGGACTGAGCGTGTGTTTAGCGGGGTGGGATGCGCGTGCACGTGTAGGAAAGTGGACTTCAGGTAAAGTGCCCACACGGAGGGGGGCGGGAGTGTTTACTGAGCCACAGCCCCGCTCTCACCTGGCCTTCTGCTCCTGCTTGAGCCGGATGCTCTCCAGGCGCTGGGGGCTGGGGATGAAGGCGATGTCCCCGCCCTCTTTCACTAGCCGGCCGATCCACCAATCATTGCTGTACTTCTGGGCATGGGGTGGAGCAAAGGGGGAGGGGAGGAGTCACGGGCCTCAGTTCTGGCTCTCCAGCTTGAAGAGCCAGGGAGGTATTCACAGAGCTGGTCTGACAAAGGCAGCACCAGGGAGGGGGTGGGAGGGGGCAGGAGAAGGTGCCAGAGGGAGGGGCAGACAGTTTTGGGCCACCCTAAGATTTTAGTGTGATACATCACGGCTGTCACCTGCAGGGGACCTGAAGGCAGCGAATCTAACTGCTCACTTCACACATGTGAAGGCTGAGCCCAAGCCAGATCTCAGAAGGACTGAGACTCTGAGGATGGCTGGGTTTGGGTATAAGGGGTGTGTGTGTGTGTGTGTGTGTGTGTGTGTGTGCGCGCGCGCGCGTGCTAAGGATAAAGCTGAGGAGTTTGGGGACTTGTTTATGGGCTGAGGACAAAACTAAGAGGATTGGAACTGAGGCAAGAGGAGGGACATTAAATGGCTTCTATTAGGGGGGTGTGGGTGGTCACCTCTTTAATGTGCAGAAAATCTTTGGCCTCAAAGTTGACTCCAGAGCCCTGGACTGGGCACTCCTCATCCAGTACACCACAGTAGCTGACATTGGTCCTCACAGCAAATGCCACAGGCTTGTGCTAGAGAATTTGGCCATCAGTGCCAATGAGGGGGGCCTCAGAGCACCCTTCCAGGCCCACCGCCCCATCAGCAGAGGGTGGGGGGCCTGTTGTCCACCCATCACACACACACAACCTTTAACACTCATGTTCGTACATCCTGCCCACAGACCGCTAGGGATGTAGGCCGGAGTACAAGCTTCCACCCAGCCTGGCCTGTTCTGCCCCCAGCTCACAGCAGAGGGTACCTTGGCTCTTTCCAGCTGCTGCTGGGCCTGACTCTCCACCTCCCGCCGGGCACTCTCCCGGTCCTCCTCCAGGGACACGTCCGAGTCCAGGGACGGGCGGCTGGTGTAGGAGTCGGCTGAACCCTGGCATGGGGGAGAGGCTGTGATCCCTGGGCTCACGTGGAAAGAGCAGACAGGGGCACCCTCGAACCCTCCACAAACCCCAGCATCTCCATGTCCACTGAGGTGATTGGGCCCCAACAGTCCCTCCGGTTTCCTTGAAAAGGTCCCCAGTGCATCTGGGGCTGCAGGAATGCCACCCAATCCATATGTGCTAAGATCTGGCTCCTCCCCTGAAGCCTATTAATACTGCAGCTTTGAATAGAGCTTTCACTTCCCTCCTTCCTCCCTCTTCTCCCCTCTACCGCGTCCTCCTCCACGGCAGAGGGACAGAAGATGTCTTGAAGATGATATATTGAAGATAATTCAGAATCCAGGCGACCCAGCCCTTTTGTTCACATCAGCCTGCAAAGCCACCTAGACGTTACCCCTTTAAAACGACTGGCAGATGAACAGCCAAGAGATGCTGGTTGGAAGGCACTGTTCCTGAGTGTCAGGACACAGCCACTCACCCCTTAGATCTCATCTCCCGAGTCCCTATCCTTTCATGGTGAAGAGGACACAGAGCTGCCAACTCCTGGGAGTTTCTTCCTCTCCACTCTCCCTACCCCCACTTTCCTCTCACATGTGCTGGGGCAACTGGGCAGCAAACAAGACGCAGGCTGGCCCGGCTGGTGTGGCTCAGTGGTTTAGTGTTGACCTATGAACCAGAAGGTTACAGTCTGGGCACATGCCTGGGTGGTGGGCTCGATCCCCAAGCAGGAGGCAGCCAATCCATGATTCTCTCTCATCAATGTTTCTCTCTCTCTCTCTCTCTCTCTCTCTCCCCCTTCCTCTTTGAAATCAACAAAAATATATTGGGGGGGAAAAAAGGCACAGACTAACAGCAACACAAAGCTATTTCCATGAGCCTGTGAGGCTGAGCCACGCCCACCACCTGGCTTATAGCTCCCAGCTCCACCTCCAGGGGGCTATCAGCCCAGGAGGAGGCCATGTTGGTGCCAGCCAAGCCAGCAGAGGAGCAGGGCCCCGGAATGGAGGGAGGGAGTCCTTGGTAACCTGAAGCCAGCAGAGTGTCTGAGTCTTCTCCACAGTGAGAGTCTTTGGGCAGTGAGGGTGTGTTTGGAGGGTGGCAGAGCTCACCTTCAGGGCCGTGAGGAAGACGCACAAATGAGCAAGAGCGCCTGGGCCTTAGGACAGAAGTCAGGACGTCCCCTTTGCCCCCTCAGCTTAGGGTAAAGGGGATCTTTTGTTTCCTGCCCCAGTTTCCCCTCCTTATGATCAGAGGCCTGCAGTGGTATTCCCATCAATTCTGAGGTGCAGGTGGCGGAGAGAAGGTAGGAGCCCAGATAAGGATCCGTGCAGGAATGTGTGTGTGAGCACGGAAGGGGGTTTAGGATATTCTCAGCCTGAGGGACATTCCTTCAAGCCCGCAGCGCATGGCTGCCTACAGAAGGCAGCAGAGGCCGGACTCCCAGCGGGGAAGACAGACTGCTGTCCGGCATGCCCTCTGCTCCAGCCCCTTCATGGGCGAGAGGGCTGGTCAGCTTGATGTCAGCCAGGCCCTAGGGCCTAAGCTAAGTCCAGGTTGCGGTAGACAACATGAAGATAGCACAGGGCGGAAAGTCTTTCATTTTACAGAGGAGCGGAGTCTGCCTGCTGCTTCCCATCTCCTTTGAGAATAAAATAAGGCTGGCTTGGCAGGGGGCTAAAGAGCCGCTGAGCCCCAGGAAGAATCTTCAGAAGGTCGGTAGAGGGGGGTGCCTCCTTCCAGGGGTCTTAGATATGGAATACAAATCTGGGGGAGATGCCGAGTGAACGGAACAGGGCCCAGCATGCTGGGAGGAAGGAGGATAAGCACTTTTCAGATACCTCCTAGGTGCCCGGACCTGTGCTGAGATGAGTCTAACCTTTAGTCTCTGCTCTCCAGTTTCTCAGCCTAATAGTCCCCATAACATCCCTGCCTGGAGCGCCTGATCTCTTGCCCTGAGATGGCAATGGTAGGATCTCCCCCTACACTTTGAATGAAACCCCCTCTTCTTATTCCCAAGTCCTCAGAGCTCACCTCTCTCATGCCCTGGGCTCACATAGGGAAGCCAGGATACCTTTGCCAAGCCTTATCTGGGGTCTTCCCTCCCCTACCCCATTATGCCAAAACAGCCAGAGGCTCAGCACTTCGGAGCTGCTGGGAGTTGGCACAGGGCCCGAGCGGTGCCCCCCTTGCCTGGTGAGTGTGTGGGCAGGCTGCAGCTCCACTCTTGCCTGGCACGGGGGAAGGAGAGGAGGGAGATGAGCCGGTGGATTTATTTAGAGCCTGATCTCCCTCCCACTGCTTCAGAGGGGGCCCCAGAGAGAGCAAGGAGCCAGGCGAGAGAAAGGAAAGTGGAGGAGGGCGAACCGGGGACCAGCGAGGGCGGGGCAAGCACACTGCTCCCAGCACCAGCCACAGGCCAGTCTTCACCTGGCAGCAGCTCTTGCCTTCTCTCTAGGGCCCTCCAGCCCTCCAGGGAGGTTCCTTCTTAAGCTCACCTTGGCACCCTGGGCCGTGCCAACTGTCTCTTCAACCATCATAAATAGGTGTCCACCAGAGCCTTGAAAAATCATCTGTTCCTGCTGCCAAGTAATTAGCCCTAGAGGCCCGATGGGGAACTTGGCCCAGCAGGAGCCCATCCTCAGAAAGGGACTGAGAGCTGCCCACTGTGAGCCCGAAACTCCTGGGTTTGGCAGCCAGAGATGAAAGAAGACTCAACACTCCACTTTCAACCCTGGAGTGCTCTACCTTCCAGACCTATCAGGGACCCCGTCCCACCACTCAGTGGTCCTCCCCTAAGGAGCCTTCTCCTGTGCTGTTTGAGAGAAGGGATGCTCCCCGTCCTTGCCCCCTCTTTCCAGGCACTCTTCCTCCTCTCTGAGCTCCGGGAATCTCTGCCTAATGAGCTGATTTGTCTCAGTGGGTCAGGAGATAAAAGCAAAGAGGAGAATTAAATATTTATCGGTTGCCTGGTTCTCTGAGCAAAGAGCTTCCTCTCCATCCCCAGGCCCTCAGCTCCTTCTGGCTTCACCTCCAACCTCCATGCTGAGCAGGCGCTCAGGATGCCCGCAGCTCTCAGGACACCTCAGCAGGAGGCATGGGCTGGAGGGGGTCAGTCCACAGGCCCACTCGTGTGCGGGGTGCCCAGTTCCCAGCCTGGCAGAGAAGCTGGGCAGGAGGGAGGGTGAGGAGAGAAGGCAAGTTCAGGCTGGCCAGGAGAAGGGATAATGGAGATCCTCAAGTTTTGTGATCTTTCCGTGTGAAGAGGCTAGTACCTGATTCTCTGGTGTTCTCCCAAGCTCCCTACATTTGTCCTTTACCTGAGGCACAGGTCTAAGATTGTCCCCCTGGGAACCAAGAGACACCCCCCTCCCCTTCTCCTGTAGCGGTTATGTTCAGACCCCACACAACCTCCTCTGGGAACTCCAGACATTGTGTGGGCCATTTCTACAGCCCTTTCCCCTCCGCCTTTCTTCCTGAGCTTTGGAAACACCTGCTCGAGTCTTTGCCCCACGCTGCCCCCCACCCCCTCCCTGCACACAACCGCGGTCTCTTGGTCTGGGACTGGGGAGCCCCTGATAATGAAAACCCATCTTCCCACTTTTCTGGAGCGCCTCCTCTCCTCCCCCCCCCCCCCCATTCCCTGCCCCGCCACGGAGACGCCTTTTCAAAGTGCTGAGCGGGGAGAAGGGTCCGAGGGAGAGGAGGTGCCCCCCAACGTCCCCACCCCCACCCCCGCCGCGGGCACTCACCGCCTCCGAGTCCTCAAACCCGGGCACGTAGGAGTCGTCATACATGGGGGAGTCCGGGCGGGGGGAGCGAGCGGCGCCGGGGGCGGGGGCGGCCCCGAGGCCGGGGCGAGGACCGCGGGCCGCGCCCGGGAAGATGCCTCCGCGCCCCGCAGCCCTGCGGGCGGACGGTCGGCCGCGCGGAGCGAGGGAGCGCGAAGGAGGGAGCGCGCCGCGGGGACCAGCTGCTCGGAGCTCACATCACCGCCCCCCTCCCCGCCCCCCAGCCCGGCCGGTGCCACCCCGAGCGCCGCCGCCGCGGAACCCGGCGCCCCAAACAATAGCGCCCGCCCCCGCCCCCTCCCGGGCCTGGCGGGCGGCGGCCTCCCGGGGAGCCCGGATCCCGGCCGGAGCGGGTGCCGCCGGAGCCGGGCAGGAGGGTCCCGGCACCGCTGGGCCGGAGGGGCCGCGGGGAGGAAGGGGTGGAGACGGCGGGCGGGCGGGTCCGGGCGGGAGGAGGCGGGGCGATGGAGGGATGCGGAGACCGAGCCGCTTGGCGGCCCAGGAAATGCTCCGCCGGGAACAAAGGCGGCGGCGGGGGAGGGGAGGGCGCGGCGCTGCGGGGAGGCCGGACCTGAGTCCCGGGAGCCCGATCTGGGTACGGGAGGCGGGAGAGAGAGGAAGGAAGGAAGGAAGAGATGATAGGGACCGAGGGAGGCAGGGGGAGACGGGAAAATGGGGAGACCGGAGGGGCGGGGCGGGAGCGGCGGCGGGAGGAGGAGGGCCCCCAGGTGAGCCGGCCGTAGGTGCCGGGGCGGTGCCAGAGACGCCAAAAGCGAACCCCGCCACGGTGCTGAGGGGGTGGGTTTGGCGACGCCAGGTCAATGCCGTGAAAGTGCCCCCCTCCCCTAGGTGCTCGTACCCCTCGCTTTTGGGACCCCGCACCAAAGGGCCGCCAATCCCGCGCTCCAGGGAGGGTTCGGGTCTGGCAGCCGCACACCTGTTGCGCAGGCAGATTTCATCCGAGCCTGGCCAAGATGGGGGATCCCTCCCTCACTTCCTTGCCAAGGATTGTGCCAGGCTTTGCCAGCGTATCCGTGGGAACTGGGACAGGGAGGGGCTGTGGTAGGTGAGCCCTGAATCGATGGGAAAGAAACCAGAGGGTGGAGACGGGGAACTGTGGCTGGGATAGAAGGTGGGATCCTGGTCACACTGGGGCTTGGGGGTGGGGGTGGCGGAAGGCAAGTCTCCCCAGAATTACTAGCTTAAGGCCAGATTCCCTCCTTAGTAAAAGGATGCGGGTGGGGTGGCTGGTATGTCCTGGTTGGAGCCACGTGTACCACTCTGCGCCAGCCTGTCTCCTTCAAAAAAGCGCTAGGATTTGAGGTTAGGAACCGAACAGCAGCCTTTATTATTAGGAACAAACTTCCCCAAAGATCCACCCATTGGAGTTTCCTCCGTCTCCTGAGCAAAAGCATTCTTTTGAATTTTGATTGCCTCCCACCCGCACTCACCCACAGCTTTGTGTGAGGTGGACAGAGGTTTACACCTGAGGGCCTGAGCTCAGTCTTTCTCCTTCCCCGTTTCTCACCCCAGGAAGTTGACTCAAGAATCTGCTGGTTCCTTTACCTTCGGAGCTACAGGGGAATTAGAAAACCAAGACTCTGAGAGGGTCTGAGGAAACTTGTGGGAGAGAGCACTGTGCATGGAAGAGAAAGACCACCCAGACCCACTGGCTCCCACTTCTGTGGCTCATTCTGTTCCCTTGGCAAGAAAAAGAGAGAGGGGCCTTCTCTTAAGATCACCTTTCCTCTGCCTTCAGCCCTGCCCAGCCTCTTCCTCCTGCTACAACGATGTTGTGGGGTCCCATATGGCCGAGGGGATCCATCACTACTGAGGGTGGGTGGAGATGCAGTATACTTTCACAGTCCCTTTGTCCAGTATGCTTTGGAGGTTAATATATTGAATTCTTCTGTATTGGACGTTCCCAGACACTATCTTCTCACTTTTGTGCCTTCCAGTTCTTCAGAATTCCTATATCCTCCTCTCTTATTCTCTGCCTTTCAATCCTTTCTGCTCTCCCAGAGGGCAGAAAGGAGACGTGAAATGTGAAAGAATAGACCCTCAAGGTGCTCCTGGGAGATAACTCCAATAAAGAAGATAGCTGCTGAGGCACCTGCTTCTCCCCCAGTGCCCAGTCTATCCCCAGACCTCTCTTTTTGGGATTCTCCCTACCACCAGGGGGTCCTGGTGACAGCTGTTCTGCCATCAACCTCACTCCTTCCCCGTGCACCTTGCTGTCTTCATCCCCTTCTGGGACAATGGTGTCTAAGTCTGCTCCGGAAGCACGAGTTGCCATGCCAACCACCCCCAGGAGATAGATCCAAGTTCCTGTACCTGGGCCTGTCCCTGGGTCTTGTAGGAGGAGATTCAGAGCATCTCTCTCTCTCCCTTATCTCTTAGTTGCTACTCAATGTCGTGTTCCCCTCCCCCCATTTCTCACCTCACCCACAGCTGCTTATTCCAGTCCTCATGCCTGTCCTGTAATCAGACATGTGCTTGTCACTGTCCATGTCGCCCCAAACCCTTATCCTTTCTTTTCCGTTGTTGCACACAAGGGGAGAGTGTTGAGGGGGGGGGAAGGCATTTCAGGAGAGGCTTCTTCCCGCCCTCCTCTTTCTAAGGAAAGAGCTGCTAGACTGGCAGCTGGCAGGCACCCAAGGCATAGAAGCGAGACACAGTGGGGGGGAATCCAAATAACCAGGTTTGGGAGTTGGAGTTCTTGGGGAGCCTCCAGGATACCTCGCTTCTGTAAGTACACCAGGAAGCCCGGCAGATGCCAACCCCTGAGCGCTGAGTGGGGAAACTGAGACAGGCACTAGGACCTCAGGGGAATCTCTCTCCTCAGTGGTCTTTAGGAGCTGGACCGAGTCAAAGCCCCCAGCATTCTAGCTTTCCCCAGGGGACCCAGGGAGGGGCGCGGAGGTGTTTGGCTGAGCCCTCCTTTCCCCCTATTTTTCTAGCCTCTTTTCTGCCTCCCCAGGCAGTCATCCTTCCCATTCCTGATCAAGTGCTTGGAAGCTACCAGCTCCAGCCACTCCCTTCTTTCTTACGGCTTCTTCCACCCGAAGCCTCATCTCTGCTCTCCCTCCCCGTCACTGCAATTCCCCCGAATTCGAGCCCACTTCTTTGCCTGGAGTGGGGCTTCCCTCCCACCCCTCGGGAGGGGCCCCGCGTTTACCTCATTCAGCAGGAAGGTTGCACTGGAGTCAGAAAAAGACATAGACCGGGCCAGCGGCCTCTCCCCCTCCCCCGGGCCAGGGGCTCCGAGGCGGGAGCTGGGCCCGGCTGCGGCTCCGCACGCGGGCTCCCCGCCCACCCGCCCGGCCTCGCCCTGCGCCCGCCCGGCTCCGCCGCCGGCTCCTACCCTCCCTCCGGGTCCCCTCCCTCTTTTCTCCTCCCTCCTTCCCTCCCTCTCTCCCTCCTTCTCCCGTTCTCGCCTCTCCTTCTCTAGTCACTCTCGCCCTCTCCCGCCGCCTTTCAGTCCTCTTCTCTCCATGTCAGTCTCCTCCTTCTCTCTACGGTCTCTGTGTATGGGGTGCCTCCCGCTGTCCTTCCATCCACTAGTCCCTTCTCTCCCCTCCTCCCTCCCCCTCCCCCCATTTCTTCCAGCACCCCTCCACCGAGCAGGCAGAGCGGCTGGAGTGGTGCCAGGGCCGCCAGCTCCGGAGTTCCGGGGGAAGGCTCTGCTCTCCGCGCCCAGCTCCGTGCGCCCGCGCCCGGCGACCGGGGGACGATGGACCCGAGAAGATGGATCTCCCTGCGCCGAGGCTCTCCCTCTGGGACCCGGGGAAGCCCGTCCGCCTCCCGGTCCCGGATCCAGACCCTGCGGCTTCTGCGGGATCCAGCTGGAGAGAGCCTGGCTGGGATCGCCCGGCGCCCGGGAGGCTCTGTCACCGCGCCCCCCGGTGCCGGCGAGCCGGGACTCGGCCCGCGAAGGCGAAAGGCGGAGGCGCGGCGGCTCCCGGACCGGCTGCAGCGCCCCCTGGACTCGCTCGCCGGGCGGCCGCACGCCCTCCAGGTGGCGGTACCCGCCCCGGGGTCCTGTCTGTCGGCCGGCAGCGGCCGGGCCCTGCCAGCAGGAGGCGCTGCACCGGCTGGAGCGGAGTGGCCACAGCTCTGAGCCGGACCCCTACCAAGCCCAGGACGAAGCCCCTTCTCTCTTTCCAAGAGCCGCGGTCCCATCTCCAGATCCCTAGGATGGGATTCCAGGCTGCACTCTGTTCCCACCCCAAGTATCCTTTTCGGTACTTGGCCTCTCTGGAGCCCCAAACCGCTCCTACCTCCATCCTGGTCTCCTGGGGCGACTCCACCGAGCCCAGCAGCGACCTGCACGGCCTGGGCAGCAGGGAGTACAGAGTCTCGGGCCGATCCTCGCTCGGGTCAGTACCCCTCCCGCCCCCTTCAGCGGGCACGTCAAAGAGGACAAGCCCAAGTTCTGGCGGGGGAAGGGGGGAGCAGGGGTGTAGCCCCAGCCAGCTCTCTCCCTGCACCCTCTAAGCGGATCTGCCTCTCATTGGTCCCTCCTTACCCCCATCACCCCCACTGGACTCTTCTCCGCACCAGAGACGGCGGCTTGGGGACTGGCAGGATGCACCAGACCCCCTTGTGGAGACAGGGACATACCCTGAAGCTGAGTGACCGGGGGCTCCCAACTCCCAACTCTCCCTCCGCACCAACTAGAACTCTTCCCGACTGAGGGCGCCCCTCTGTCCTCCTTAAGCAGCAGCTTCTTCTTCCTCTTCTTCTTCTTCTTCTTCTTCTTCTTCTTCTTCTTCTTCTTCTTCTTCTTCTTCTTCTTCTTCTTCTTCTTCTTCTTCTTCTTTTTCTTTTTCTTCTTCTTCTCCCCCCTTACCCTGGGGGTGCCCAGAACCCCTCTCCTCAATCCTCCCATCCCCTGGGAATCTTGGAAGACTTCTCTCCCTCTCTGTGTAACTGGCCCTCCACTTGCCCTCATTCCGGAGGGAGCTAAATTGGGAGCTAATTCTCCTCTCCACTCCCAGCTCCTC